TAAGTACACACCCTTTTCTCAGTTTGACGGTATGTTCTGATTCAGATATTATTTTTGATTTTATTAGTTTTTACCAGCTTAGCGCTTTGCTTGTTGTCCGGTAGAAAAAAAAACTACAACGGCGTCCCCATCCTCTTGAAGTGGTTGCTCCTACTGGGTTCTCTCCACTTGGTCCGTATTGATTTGTTGGTTTGAGCTTGATCGTTGAGATTGTCCGGCAAGTTCCTCAGTGCTGGGGCGTACGTTAATCAGGTTGCTCCTCCCAGTTTGAATATTGAGGATAAGCAACTCTTTGAGATCTGGATCATTATCGTCCAAAAAAGAAAATTTTTGATGTAGAACGTTTTTCCAATCCAGGTTACTTAAACTTGACATTTTGGTTAGGTTGCTTACAACAGTGTTTGTCCCCTGCCGCGTTGTGCTTCAAAAGGGTTTATCTTGCTTGTCGCATTTGTAACGCGCCTAACGCCTTGTCGAACATTTTTTTAAAACAATTTATGCTCATTTTCAGCCGCAAAATTGAGCACGAAATTTAAATACTGCCGATGATTCTCATAACCGACCCCGTGCCCCAGTGATCGTTTACCCCAGAGTAATTGAGCTCGATCGTTTCGTTATTACAGAAACTCTTAAGTTTGTTAGATGTACAGCATGACCCTTAGTGTAAATGGGTTTTCCGAGATACACGGTGATGATAAATGTTTTTTTTTCCAAAACTTTTAAGACCTTGTTTCAACCATAGCTGATGACCTTCTGAAGAGACGGTTCGTTGCGACTAGTACATACTTTTTCTGCTCTTTCAAATATCATTTCGGACCCCAGAAGCCTAATTTTATGCACTCATTAGGTTCCCTTGGTTCAGGGATTTTCGCAACTTCTCCTTTGGTTAGCAACGTTTTCAAGTTCATACCCGCAACCGTGCATTTTCGACAGTATGTCGTTTTTGCCGCGAGGCTGTGGGACATACAGGGGTACCATACATCTCGAGCTGCTTCGACCATGTTCCATTTTTCAGGATGGTAGAAATGGATCCTCGATTCTACCGCCAGTTGCAGAGGTAGCGGTATTACTGGTCGTTCGTCGAGCCAGACACAGTCGTCTCTTAGGTAGAGATCGCTTACGTACTGGGCCCAGTTTTTCCCCTTTTTGGTTCGTTCCTCCTTCAGGTTGTTGTTTTTTTCTGTAATTTAAGCCTCTTGTAGTTTAAGTAGGTTTATGTCTGCTGGGATATTGAAAGCGCTAAATTCCAGGTTAAACAACTCAGGTAATGAGGTAAGCTTTTTGATAACCTTAGTACCACGTGAGATAATTGACGTGAATCGCTGGTTTGGATTTTTTTCCGAAACTAGTTCGCTCGGATATTTTTCAGTTATTGATAGAATGGTGTTCTTTATAGAGTCACGTGTGTTTTTAATTATGGCTTCAAATTCTGGATTAATGGCTGTGACTTTGTCCTTTCCATAAAGATTAGGGTCTAGGTTTATCGGGGAAATAATATTCGAAACGATTTCAACAACCAGGAACGAGCAATCAGAACTATCATCCAAATTTCTAACTTTTAGTTGAGTTTTCTACTCTTGTTACCGTCTTCCAGGGAACGATATATTGCGCACACTAATCGTGCCGGGGATTTAATTGATTTATGCAATATGCAAATTGATCGATTCTTACTGTCCGGTTTTCTCGCGCAAGACTTTCCGCGCTCAACCATTGATGTAATCAAGCATATTTGTCGTTCTGTCTAGTCTTCCTGTTAATCTTGAATAAGTTTTTGTTCTTCTTGATATTTGACTGTTAAGTAAAGAAACTAAAGCTTTATGATCTGTGATTACTGTAAATGGTCTTCCGAGGATACAATTTCTGAAATGTTCAGATCCCCAAGCGACTATCTATTTTCCAAATTGTTCGTTGAATGTTTTATTTCAGCTGCATTTAAAAATAACGAGGCTAATGCGATTGGTCGCCAACCCTCGGATCCTAATTGTTCGAGCACTGCCCTCAAGCCGTTGTGTTTCCCGTCACATACACTTCTAATGTCTTTATATAGATTGAAATGTTTCTATTCGAATAATTTTGCTACGCCCAGCTTGATATTTTTGAACGCAATTTCGCATTCTTTTGTTCATTTGAATTCACTTTTTAACTTAATAGTGGTTTTAAGGGTGATGATATTCCAGCTGGGGCTGGGAGATAAATGTGAAGTCTGCGTGTTAAACTCAAATACTATTTGAGTTGGGTTTTCGTTTTTTTTGGGCCACCAGCGCGTCGATCGGCGCTGTTTTCCATTGCAGAGCCTGTACGCTCGATTTCATAATTCAGTGTGCGATTCATTCGCACTCGCGTTTTGCAAATAAGCACTTTGAAAGCTTCAATGATAAGTTTTCGGGAATTAGTTTCGGCATAATTATTTCAACCAATGATATGTGCTCAATTTTGGTCCCCTTGGTTGTTTCTAATATGTCGTCGATAAATGTCGTCAATATATCGTCGATAAATGTCGTCAGTATTTGTCCGTATGCATAAATTAATTCAATTGTTGTAAAACACACGTCATTTTGTTTTTTTTTCTCTTGTATGCACGAGTTCCTCGATGTTCGGCATCTGCATTTTGTTTTTGTACTTTTGCTTGTTAACTGCTCGCGATTCGAGCGCTAATTTAGTGGAACTATCTGTTTCTACGGTAATGATTTTTGCAAAACGAAATTTCGATCCAATTTTTCCTTCAATTTTTCTATGTGACCGTGATCATAATTTTGTCGATACTTTTATCCACCTTATTTTGGAGTGTTACCGAAACTCTCCTACCCCTCTGTTGCAGTTGTACGACTTTGAAAAAATCCGCCTAGACCTTGTAATTTCTAATTTTTCCGGTCCTAAAAAAGACTTTGGGAATATCCCACTGAAGTAATGTTACCAAGGATCCATGTCCTGGTCCTATGGGTTTCCTGCCTGCTAGGAAAAAAATTGTCTTGTGTCCCTCGAAATTTCATGACTTCTCCCCCTGGATGTGCCTGCATAAGTTGTGGACCCAATTTTCCCATGAAATTCCATCCCACGATCGATGGTCTGCTTAATATTGACCCTAAATTCTGCCCTGGTTTTCCATCCATTGGATGCCAACTCTACATTCAACTTGGCAGTACGATGATTCGGTTGTTGCTGTTGTCACGAAACTCATCATCCTCAGTGTTCTTCTGCTTCAGGTTGACTCAAGTTCTTCCCAGGGTCTTCTTGAGATCGTCCATTGTGAGTATTGGTATCGGTGATCCACCTTCGATCCAGATGTTCATCGGATGTCCGTTCATTGTGATTTTTAACTTTGGCCCGGCAACAACCTTTAGCAGTGTAACCCTCTTTCGACTTAATGCCATTATCATACAATCGTCGGAGTTTTCCGATGACCAGCGATGCTCTCTCTTGACAAATCCGACGGAATTTGCGTGCTGTGAGCTTACTTCATCCGAGGGGTTATCCTTCCCGTCAAATATCCCATCCCCTTGAATAAGCTCCTCTGACTGTCTACCGCGCGACATTCGTTTTACTCTCCACGTTCTCTCGAAGTGACCTACTTTTTTGCAGAAGTTGAACGTGACAAATCGTGCTATGCATCTTTTTTGGTGTTCCGGGGTGAATCATAGATTGGTTGATCATAATTTTAGCATTTCCGATCCAGAGTTTGGCGTCCCCCACGATTTTGATAGTTTTAGCGTCCCTGTTGAAAACCGCGTCCCCATGATCCTCGAATGTTGCTTGCTGGCTCGGCCTTAATTTGTAGCGCTTCCCCTGGGACATCGCTTTCTTTTATGCTTCCTCCGGTTTTTTTTTGTCTCTCTGCATAACTCATTCTGGGTGTCTCTGTTCCGCATATTGAAGACGAATATGTCTCGAACCATCTTTCTCTCCAGTCTTATCAAGTTACACCTAGTCGCCATTCAACGCTGCTTAGAAAAATTTCAAGCTCTCCCCTTCCTTCTGCTTTCGACATAACTTTTGATACATCTAATATGCTTCGTTTTGCTCCTTCTTAAAAGTTGTTAAGCAAATCTCGAGGAATCGCGGGCGTTAAATTGTTTCCATATCCAAGTGTGGCTTTGTTTGGAGGCCTTGTTTGGAGGCCAAAATGCTACTATTCCCGCGGTTTTACCCACTCGACCTGCTGGCTGCGCCATAACAAGTGATAGTAAAACGGTATGGATTATGATTGTTAATTCAACTGTTTTTCTCAACATTAATTCCAGACCCTGATGTAGAGGTCAGAGTAAACAAGACAAACTTAGAGACTGATTGACAGGTAGGTACCTGGTGATAGAACAAACTCTCATGAGTATGATTGAAAATTGCAGCAACTAAAATGATTGACATCCAATAGGTAGCCTCTCACAGATTGGCCACATTAAACACTCATATCCAGTTCATTGCCTGCTCTTGCTGGAAGCTGGATTTTTTTCCTGTCGCAAAGCTTAAAAAAATCTAAAGTTTCCTCTGAAATATAGGATGGCAAGACGAGAATAGTATGTGCCATTTTGATTTTGCAAGTTTTTGGAGCAGTATTGAGGTTTCAAATTTCAGTATTGTAGTTCAGTTTTGGGCTCGATTGAATCTTGAGTACCGGTATTCAGTGTTTGCTAATAAAAGTCCTATCTCAATCAGCAGACAAAAATTGAAGTATCGACCTGACAAGTTTGCACGGTTTTACAGTAGATAAGTAATACAAAGGCTAGCAAACTAGTCACAATAGTGTTCAGTCGTAGAGCACTGATGAATTGATAAATGGCTCTGCCGTCATCAAAAAATATCCGTGGCTTGAGGTCCGCTTTTTTCGCACAATTTTAGATGGTTAAGACAATATTTTACAACCTAAAAGATTACCGTATCAAAGATTACACCAACAAAAAGAAGTGGCGTGGCCGCCCCTAAATTAAATACTTTGTTTAGTTTTATTAGACCATAAAGTGTTAGTATGTGATTTTTTTAAAACTTTTTTGTGTTTTTTATTCTAGAAGCAGAAAATACCTTCTGGGTCGGAAAGCATCTGTCATTTCTAATCCTGCGAGTGAAACAGCTTTCGTCTACTCCAACGGACTGTTTGCATCACACTTCAAAGACCCATTGGCTTCCACAAAAGACTACCCAATGCATGAAATAAACACAATATCATCCCATGTCGAGAAAAAATCATCAGCTCCATCGGCGCAACCTCTAGGCATGTATTTAAGAAGCATCTTGGAACGAGATACGGATCGATACCAGGTATATTTTTAAAATTTCTCATTTTTATTGCAAGTATGTTTTCAAATAATAGTAAGTTTAGTTTCTCAATTACAAGATGCTAGAAATTGATCAATAACTGAAGTGCTTTTGTGATAAAAGCAAGTTTCTTTTCATCAGGATGCCTGGGTTCAAACACCGCTAACTCCAGTGTTATTATATAAGGTTATATTTCTGCTTTTTTTATAGGCACTTGAGAAGGAATCGGACTCGGAAGAAGATGATAGGCAAGATTCTTCTACATGCAATGCTGACATTGTAATCATAGATCAAAACTACTGGCGAACTTATCCACGAGAAGCAGAAATAAACAAAGACAGACTTAACTTCATAAGTGGTAAGCAAAACTATTTTGTCAAGAACTCGTAAGAAGTGCGAAAACGTTCTTTGGAAAAATATCCTGTAGGGAATACAATTTTGGATTACTCAAAACTTTAGAGATTTGGCCGTGAAATCAAGTATATCGAAAAAATTATATATTTTTTAGCTCACAAGTTTCGTTTAAACTCTGAACTGGAAGACTACTTGTCATCTGATCCTGAAAACGAAGATTCAATCAACAAAGTCACAGAAAAATCATTGTTGATTAGTGATGCGAAAAAAGACATTGTAAAACCTATTGTAAATGAACCACCCGCCTTTCAGGAGCGGAAAATTAGTGTTGCCGATGAGACGAGATATTCAAAAAGCTGTCAGACATACGAGGAAAGTTCTATTGCATACAGTATCGAATCCACTAAACCAATTGAAATCAAGGAAAATGTTTCTGTCCACCAGAAATTCAAACCGATTGAAGATGATTCCAAGTCTCAAAGGAAACCACAGCGCGATGAAAGTCAAACAAATCTTACGGATTCTGACTACCCAAAAATCACGAGTGAGCATTTGAGGAAACGAAAAAAATTAACTTCTTATATCAAAATCATATACATTTTAACCAAAAACATCCCGTCATAATTCATCGGTCTGATGAATCTAAAAATTTTTTAAATTTGATTTCGTGTTTTTGAGAAGAGAGCACACATCAAATTAAATTCTCAAAGCGAGAAATTCAAAGCAAAAATTTTCTATAAAAATAGTGCTGATTTAAATTATCCGGACAAAACTAACAAAATTTGAATTTGCAAACGCGTTTTTCTCAGTTTGGGTTAAAATTAGACCAAAAGTGCTTAGAATTTAATCAGAAGTAATGTGGTACAATTTTTTTACCGAAATTCTCAACCAAAATTTTACCTCAAAATGGGTCATTTTGGCTTTTTTCAATTAATCAAAAATTACGCTGAAGCTGCTTTGTTAATTGATGAGTAATCTATATCACAGCCCAACAAAAATCTAGAAGAATTAAATATCCAAAAACCTGTGTAAGAGAAAATAATTTAGCTTGATAGTCAGGTAATGTGATTTTTACTATATAAAACCCAAAACCTTTGCTTAAAAACAAATTTTATACAATTTACTCACATTTTTGGAGTTTTTATCCTCTCTGGAGCTTTGTTGGGCTGTGTAAGAGGCTTCTTGTGATATATATTGCTCATCAATCAACAAAGTAGTTTCAGAGTAAACTTTGATTAATTAAAAAAAGCTAAAACGATCCATTTGTGGGGTAAAATTTAGGTTAAGAATTTCGCAGAAATAATTGTATTATATTATTTCTGGTGAAATTCTAAGCAACTTTTGTTTTCTTCACTTATTGTCTATTTTTAACCCAATTTGAGACAAACGTGTTTGAAAATTCAAGTTTTGTTCTTTTTGTCCGGATAATTTAAATCAGCACTGTTTTATAGCTTTTAACAAATTTATTGGACAATTTTTTAAGTTTCTGAATTAACTTTGACCTTCAAATTTAAATTAAATCGACATACTTCTTTGAAGTTTTGTGTTTGCCTTTGTGTCGGCATTTTATGTTTTTTTTTGCTTTGAAAAATTCCATGGCAAATCGTTGTAAATGAAAAAGTTTTTTCAATTGTGCTCTTGAATAAGGCAAAAATGAAATTTTCCAAAAAAAAAACGGAATAATTTTGCATTGCTCTTTTGTCAGTTCAAATGCGGTTTTGAAAATTTGATTGCAGTTTGAACGCGATTTCACCGTCTGAAGATCAAGAATTATTTCAAAATTTGTCCGTTAAATTTGTTAAAAGCTATACAGTGCTGATTTAAATTAACCGGACAAAACGCGTTAAACTTGAAATTTAAAACCCGTTTTTCTAAAATTGGGTTGAGTTTAGGTGAAAACGTATGGAGACAAAACTTGCTTAGAATTTTAGCAGAATTAATATGGTGTAATTAATTTTGCGAAAATCGGGCCCGAAATTTTAGCCCAAAAATGGGTCATTTTGGCTTTTCTTATTTTCTCAAAAATTATGCTGAAATTACCCAGTCGATTACAGACATGATTATATCAAAGTGAGCCACTTACGTAGCCCAACAAACTTTAAGAAGGGTATAATCTCCAAAATATTGTATAAGTTAATTTATTTTTGTTTGATAGACAAAAAGGTCGTTTTTACTATATAAAATGCCAACTTTTTATTTAAAAACAATTTTGGAACAATTTGCAATTCTTTTTTGGAGAAAATACCTTGCATAAAATTTGTTGGGCTACGTAATTGGCTCACTTGGATATGATTATGTCTGTGATCGACTAGGTATTTTTGGCGTAATTTTTAATGAACTAAGAAAAGCCAAAATGACCCATTTTTGGGGTAAAATTTCGGACCCGAATTTCGCAAAATAAATTACACCATATTAATTCTGCTAAAATTCTAAGCAAGTTTTGTATTCATAAGTTTTCACCTAAACTCAGCCCAATTTGAGAAAAACGGGTTTTAAATTTCAAGTTTAACGCGTTTTCTCCGGTTAATTTAAATCAGCACTGTATGTCAAATTAATTCTCATGTTTTAAATATCAGTTAAAACCATTCTTCAATTGAACAGAGCTTAATTATTTTTTAGTTTTAGTTAGATGATTTTCAACATTTTTTTTCGGATTCTGTGACAGCTCAGATATATTGTGACAGCTCCTAATCTCTGTAAGGAATAAATATTTTCAGGCAGCTCAGAGTCTCAGAATTCAGCAAAACTGAGTCGCAATGTCTCAGCTCGAACCCGAAGTGGCCGAGAAATCGAAGCCGACTCGCATCAATCGGACTTCGAATACCTCAAAAACCGACTGAAGTCGACAATGAGTTCACGAGTTGACTCGGAGATCTCGCTTCACAGACAACGACCGATGAGAAGAAATAAGAAGAAAGTCTTAATTGACCCTCACATTTCCAAAATTGGGCTCAGTGACCCCGAAAACTAAACGAAATTTAAAAAGAAATTAGTAATTCAATATCCAAAAATTACTAGATTTAACTTGCTTACGATTTTACGAGAAAGTTTTTTTCAGTATAAATTTTCATACTATTGAAAAATAATCATTTTAGTAAAACATTAAAGGAAATGAAGCATTTTTAGAGTCTTTTTTCATGAGATTACAACACAAATGTCTATACAAGTTTTCCGACTACAGATTTTGATTGCCATTTAATTTCTAAAAAAGAACAGATAATCTCTCAGCTTTCATCTCAGGTTGTAAACCAGAACTAAGTCTGTGTTTACTTCTAAAGGATCGAAACTATTGGTCGAAGAAGTTTCCCTGGTCGAGGTGCACATTTTATGTAAGCACTCGAACGATAAATGGCTACGGGATAAAGGGATTTTGTTCGGGTGCAAACTCAAAACATTTCTCGAGCATGGTCAAAACCTGGCTCAAGCACGTTCGAAACAGAGCTCAAAAGTAATCGAAACATACCGTAGGCAAGTCTTTAACACATATCGAACAGGACCGGAATATACTGTAAGCAATGTCAAAACATACGTCAAAGCGTTTTGTCTTTTAGTTAAACCACTTTGGTTAATATCCGGCATTTGGGAGTAGTTTGGGAAAATTGGACTAAGCAGACAATCTAAAATTTCAATCTCAAGACAAATAAGCGATATTGACTTGTATGATTTAAAGAATTTATAAAGTTTATCTGGCGTGGGCAGTGCGATGACTTTGGAGCTTTTCAATTTTTGTTCAGTTATGTTTTGAAATAAAGAAGAATTTTGAAAATGCAAGTCAGTAGACTAAGTCTATGGGTCTAAACTGCTTCAACTGAAAGCGCCATTGGTTATCGTGACCAAGAACTCGAAAGGTTAAGCTCTGCGCAATATGGCTGGTTTTGTTGTTGAGAGTAATTAATCAAGGGTTAGCCGGGTCGTACTAATTTTAGTCTTTTCCTGACTGTCTAGTAACTCTTCAGCTCAACTGGGGTTTTGAGTAATGAATAGTTGGGTTGTTTTTTTTTGTATTGGTTTTTTGATGGCTAGTTGCTCTCTTTCCTACGAGTTGTAGATCTGCAGAGTTGTATATATGTAGCCGAATGTAGCGCGCCACTCTGTGATAGCAGAACGAGGCATCTTTCCAAACTCATCGATAAAACTGTGGTAATAATTAATTGTTTGTTTCTCAATTGTTCAACGTGTATTGTGAATATAGGTGAGCCCTAGAAACTTAATTGGCGATCAGGATGCGGAAACTAAATATGATTGCGAAGCTAGAGAAATGCTTGGGGAAATTGTCGCTTTCCGTTATTTGAAAGGAGTCCGTTTTTTTTTCATTTAGTGGCACAAAAAGTTCTCTGTAAATTTCTTACAGAAATCTGACGGCAATGATTTTCTTCTATAATAGAGTACAACAAGTGTGAATGAGAGCTGGAATCCGCCGATTACAGGGAGGGACAACTTCTGGATGGGATATAAAAGCCAAATATTTTGACAAACTGGCTACCACTCGGATACACATAATGTCTAGTGGTCCGTCACAAATAAAAATTGACTCGTCGTTTTGTCAGGATTGACGATGAGAAAAAAATGGGCAGTCACTTTTTAGACCAGGAGAAGGACTTCATGAAGTTTCATTTTTCTTATAGCGGTACTTAACATAGATTGAGTCTTGCCCGGAACTGATAGCCAATTGCTAATCAAATAGCGCGGTGCGGTCTACTCCGCATTAACCATTGTAGAAAAAATTTCAAACGTCGACTCACTACTTTTTGTTTTTAAATAGTAAGGATTGCACATGGAGATTATTAGCAAAAAACCAAACATGATTTCACAACATGAGATGGAATAGCAAGCAACAAAAGTCAGTTATGAGGTTTTTGACACAAAAATAAATTCTTCGTTTTTTTCCAAATTCTTTATACTGAAGTTAAATGAGGGAATAAATTTGGATGATTGTTGCTTGACTGTTAGTTTCTCTGCCAAAGTTTCAAACGCAGCTGTTTAAAATAATCATTAGATCGGTTGATAAAGTTTCATTGAAAAATACGTAATGAAAATATGAAACTGCATGTAGACTTACTTGAATTAAAATTAATTTTGTTCAATTTTACTCTCAAGAAGTTTTTTTTCTCAGAAATATATGTTATTTGAGTTAGTGTAACTAGAATAACTTGGAGGGCTTTGCTCGACCTTTGTTAATGGTTTCTCTGCCAAAAATTTCTCTTTGGTAATCTAGTCAGAAAAATGTGTTAACCAGTGACCAGCGAATGAATCCACACGCATACTTCTAAACACATAGAAACTTTTACGCACACAAAAACACACACACACACTCACATGCATGCCTCTAAAGACATGAAAAACAATAAAAACAAAAGTTTTTTGGTTTAAGGTGATCTCATTGCAAGCTTGAAAGTTCAATGTCAAATAGTGCCGCCTCGTATAAAGTTTCAAGATGTCTCTTCTTTATTGTCTTTCGTTTTTTGGAATCAGTTTTTTTCAATCGAAATACGTAAAGTCAATAGGCAACATTCTCATTGATTGTTGAACACTCAGGAAAGCTTCATTTCTGCAATGTACAATAGAAACTTTTTTAATACAAAGTACAATAGAGACTTTCTGAAAGCAGATCGATATAGTTTTTTAAAAGAGGCTCCAAAAACTCTGTTTAACTATTTGTTATATAAATTTTGAGGATGTCAGTTTTTTAGCAATGGGCATAAAGAATAAATTTGCATGATTGTTGCTTGACTGTTTATTTTTGCTTACTAATTTTTGATGCTTTGATCGAAGCATGATGAATTTGAAACGCAGCTGTTTGAAATAGTTATTAGATCGGTTGATAAAGTTTGATTGAAAAGTATTTAATGAAACCATAAAACTGAAAGTAGACTCAGTTGAATTAAAATTATTCTGTTCATTTTTACGCTCAGAAGTTTTTTCTTAGAAATATATGTTAATTGAGTTGGTGTAACTAGAATACACACACACACACACACACACACACACACACACACACACACACATACACACACGCACACTCACATACACGCCTCTAAAGACATGAAAAACAATAAAAACAAAAGTTTTTTGGTTTGTGGTGATCTCATTGCAAACTTAAAAATTCACTGTCAAACAGTGCCACCTTGTACAATTTTTCAAGGTTCTCTCTTCTTGATTGTCTTTCAATTTTTGGAATCAATTTTTTCAATCGAAATACCTAAATTCAATAGGCAACATTCTCATTGATTGTTGAAAACTCAGGAAATCTTCATTTCTGCAATGTACAATAGAAACTTTTTTAAAACAATGTACAATAGTGAATTTTTTAAAGCAGATCGATATGGTTTTTCAAAAAGATCTCCATCCAAAAACCCTGTTTAGCTATTTAACATATAACTTTTGATGCTGTCGATTTTCTAGTAAAGAGCATACAAAATGCTGCCCTTTTTTGTGTGCAGTCAATTAAAATTTTTTAATGGACATACTCAATTAAAGCAATTAAAGGGTTAAAGTTTTTTCGAAAAATTTGACTTTATTTTATGTCGACCAAAGTATGATTTCTCGTTTTCGCGTTTTTTTTTCGAGTACCTTAAGAAATAATTTAGGGTCCGTTGGCTGACAATGGATACTGTACAACAGTACCCTTTCGGCAGCGAGTTGGCAGAGAATTTATTGAATTGATGCCGTCCATACATCAGAAAATTGATCAATTTGAGAGCTTTTCTACTTTTCAAGGAGATCTACTTTGTTTTGATGACGACAAAAACTACAACTCTTTTGAGCAGTGGTGACGTATATAGCCCAAAGCGAACGATCACGGTTGATGATGGAAACACTTCGGTATGGAAACACACGGTTGGTATGGAAACACTTTCGATTGAAATGCCGAATTTGTGGCCGCTTCACGAACACACCCTTTGCCACCACTTACGCCAATCTCCGTATGTTGGGTGCAGAAACTTCATCGTAAAAAATCCAAGTCAGTCATTAACCCTTTTTACTAGGGGCAGCGGAGTTAGGATTTTCACGAGGGGGGGATAAAGTTTTTTTTTTTACTTTATTTTGGGTCGACCAAAGTATGATTTCACGTTTTCGCGTTTTTTTTGCGTTTTTTCTCGAGCACTTTAAGAAATAATTTAGGGTCCGTTGGCTGACAATGGATACTGTACAACAGTACCCTTTCGGCAGCGAGTTGGCAGAGAATTTATTGAATTGATGCCGTCCATACATCAGAAAATTGATCAATTTGAGAGCTTTTCTACTTTTCAAGGAGATCTACTTTGTTTTGATGACGACAAAAACTACAACTCTTTTGAGCAGTGGTGACGTATATAGCCCAAAGCGAACGATCACGGTTGATGATGGAAACACTTTGGTATGGAAACACACGGTTGGTATGGAAACACTTTCGATTGAAATGCCGAATTTGTGGCCGCTTCACGAACACACCCTTTG